AAAAAAATTTTTTTTTTCCTCAAGGGAAAACCGGGAAAAATTTTTGTTTTTTGGGAAATTAAAATTAAAAAATTTTTTAAAAAAAAAAAAAAAAATTCCATAAACCGTAAAAATTTTTTTTTTCCTAACCGGGAGTTTTTTTGGTTTCCATTTTTTTTCCCTAAAAAAAAAAAAAAAAAAAAAAAAAAAAAAAAAACTGTCAAATAAAATACGTTTCAATCTAAAACATTGCAAATACCCTGGTCTCGGACCATCACAAGAAAAACTATAACCGAAATCGTTTTTATCTGGTATTAATTTTAAATCACGTGTATCTAAAATACTTTTTACTAAGATTGATGTAGTCGTACGTAAATCTATAATAATAGTATGACGAACGAGGAAGTCTTCTGAACTTATAAACAACGTTAAATTTAGATTATTGATTAATTATTAGAACAAGTTTTTTAATTTTTAAATTATTTTTTTATAAAAAAACTCTTCCTTAATTCCCAAGTTAAAAGAAATAAAGTTTAATGGAACCAATGACACGTGCCCTTTATAATACATGGCTGTGATTCATCAAGCATATATACTGTAATGCCATCTGACCTGGACTTGTTAATTCATGACTTCTAATCCAAAGCATGTTCTTTCCATACAGCTTGACTATACATACACACACACACACACACGCACACATATACATACATATATATATATATATAGTGGAAGTGGATTGAAAAGTCATTATCATTTGGTGATTATGAAGAAATAATTTTGTTCATATTAATTGTAAATATTATAAATACTAAAGATTATCTTTCATGTTAGTGTATTACTAATACAATCAATCAAGTGCCTTCAATTTTAGGTTTATATACATATATATGGATATAATAAATTTATATCTTAACTATAGAATTTCGAGTTGAAAATCTAAATTTATATCGTATTTATTAATCAAGTAATATTTATATCGATATATTTATCTTACAAACTCAGTAATATTTTAAACGTAACGAATATTTAAATAGGTTTTTGTAAACTTTAAATATGAAAGTATATAATAATGTATATGGTAAAAAAAATGAGAGATTAAATGTTTTTGTTTTTACTTTTTTATTGTATGAAAAAGATAATAAATACAAAAAGTGTCAATAAATATGTACTCTGATTTCATAAGTGGGTTTCTTCATATACATACATATATGTGTATATACATATATATATATATGAAATTATATAATAAGAACAGCTGCTAACTAAAGTTACAAAAACAAAATCAGAAGGCTTGATCCTTTGAACTACAGCTGCTGAGAGAAGTTTATTGGATGCAATCTGATGGAAAGTTTCCCAGGGTTCTACAAACAATTTAAAAAAGAAATTAATACAAAAATTAGATTTAATATATATATATATATATATATATACAGAAGTACTTCAAGTAATTATAATTATAATATAAATTAATTAACTACATAAATATAATCACCTTGATTAATTTGACTCAATTGGTCAACTCTTGCAATTCTCATTGTCAACTTTTATGACAAGCTGTAGGTCAGCAGGTTTGACTGCATTCTGTTCTACATCTACTGTCTCTGGTTCTTCCAATATGACTCCTTTCTTCCTGTACATAAAGTACACGACAAGCTGGACGATTCCTACGGGGCAACCCACAAGATTCGGTGACTGCAAAACATTAATCCAAGAATTGGGTAAGACTTAAATAAACATATAAATACATATATATATATTATATTATATTATATGTTATAAGTTTAATATGTGTTATATTCTTAAGAGAGTGAGTGAGCGATTGCATACCGCAAGAACAATGTCGTGGCTAAGTAATCCATAAGCGAGCCAGAGTGAGCTAGCGAGGAACGAAAAGAAAGATAAGTAGAAGGGCATGAAGTCTACACTCTTCGTTTTTATTACTCGCTTCTGCAAATTATCACCAGAAACGGAGATAACCCAGTCAGTCTTACGAGAATTTAAAGCCATTAACATGAAGAAGAAGAAGAAGAAGAAGAAGAAGAAGAAGAAGGAGAAGGCTTACGACAGCGACTAAAGGAGAGCTGTACATGCCGATGGAGCCACTGAGACCAATGAGGCCGACGAACATCTTCCGGTGACGGTGGTCGTGGAAGGCGAAAGCTGAGACAAAGGCTGTGACCGTGAAGAGGATGATAACAGGAATCAACACAGCAGCCACCTTCTTCTGCATGTAATCATTGCATTATCATGCTAAAATGGATTCATTTTATCACGAAAATTTAGTAGAATAAGTTTTGATTAATAAAATCAAATAACAATAAATTAAAAAGTGTTAGAATAATTGAATTACCCTGCCTTTGTTGGTGGCGAACCAAAGGTATACAAGAATGAAAGATGACTCAAAGATGATTCCGGAGCCGTTGATTGTGGCGACCGGAAAATTCTCCCATCTGATGCTGACCACCGGCAATCCATACCATGTATAGAAAAGACAGTTTAACAGTGCAATTATGTAAGGTATGCATGAGAATTTCTCTGTGCTTCTCTTCCTTATCACCCTTCTAAAAGTTAATCTGTAAAACAAAATATTAGTTAATTAATTAATTAATTAATTATCAATTATATATATATATATTATTTATATAATAACAATAAATAAAGATTATTAATTAACTTAAATTTGACATTACACTGGTGAGATAAAAAGCAGCAAAGAAGCAGCATTGCCTGCAGAAGAAAAGGCAGAAGACATATAGATTTGACATTTCATAAAATGCATGATAATTTTAGGAGATTTAAATGAAGTGGAAGACTATAGCTATAGCTCACGTGTTATATTATATTATATTATATATATATATACATATATTTCCATATAAATGTATAAATCTCAGACCAAAAGAAGCTGATTAAGTGGAGGTAAAGGCATGGTATCGGAACAATACTATATACATACATATAAAAACAAACATACCCATGATGCCGACTGCTAAACGCAGCGTTTCAGTACCCATTTGGGGGATGAGGGAGAGAGGGAGAGGGAGAGGGAGAGGGAGAGAGGGAAAGGGAGAGGGAATTGAAGGGAGGGAAGTGGGATTTGAGAGGTTTATGTAATTTGAGGGGTATAAATAGTGGGGAGAAATAGGATATGATTAAAAATGAAAAAAGAAAAAGTGGGAATAGTATAAAAAAAATTGAATTGAAAGCAGCTGTTGAGAAGTGGTGTATACATCTTTTCACTTTTATGTTCTTCTGTGAATTACTTTATATATACATGGGATTTTAATCTTTAATGTGTGTGTATATATATATATATATATATATATATAGTAAATTTTAGGAAAACCAACTTTTAAAAAAATAAAATTTATATATTTTAATAATTTAATTTAATTATACCCCTAATTAACTATAAGAAATAGGTCATCATTTACGAAAATATAATTCTAACTCAACTTTATATTTTTACTTATAAGAGTTAAAATTCAAATATCAGTCAATACGTATGAATAGTCAACACAAAAGTTCGTATAATTTACTTATACTCAATTAGTAACCGTAAATTTTTTACCAGGTAAATTGAATTGCAGCTCATTTACATTCTTAAGAATCATCGGAATTAAACATTTTGGAATTCATTTGTAAATGGATAACTATATATATGTATTTTGAATAATTAAAATTTAAGTAACTTTGATTATTTCAATTAAAATAATATAATTATTATAAGATATTTATTTTTTTTTAAAAAATATATTATGAAATAAAATTTCGTGAGACTCTGTTTGACAAACGAGTCAATTATTCGAGATATTTTGTCATTTTTATTGGGTCTTCACTATTATTACATCATTATAGATTGTCTCGCAAAATAGTAATATTTTCTCAAAAAATTCACATTTTTTTCTTATTTTAATGTGTATTTTAATTAATTAGTTTGTAAATATTTAATTTTTTTTTATGCCACTTATTCCTTATTTGAATGATTTGCACTTTCTTCATTATATAACGTGTTGTATATATTGTTATAATTTATTAATTTTAAATTAAATTTTTCATACATTTTAAAATATTAAAATTAATCTCGGGATAAATTACGGGGTCGGCTATTACAATTAATATATGAATTTAATGAGATTTGGTCAACTTTGTGAGTGTTGGTTCATAGAATTTAATATATAGTCAGTACAATATTAATTCATATAATAAATTTTTTTTATTTAATATAAAATATTAAGTTAGATAAATATTTTAGGCCGTATAATTGAATTAAATAAAGTTTTGGGTCATCTGTAACTTTTAATTATTAAATGATATCATAATCTAACCCACCAAATTAAGGGTGCAGGCCACATCAATCTTACATGGACTACTAATGCAATTTTATATGCATTATTAATTTTCAAAATGAAAATTGAAAAAATATATATATATATAATTTATATATAAAATATCTTTTACCATTATTTACATAGAAAATTTTATTATAATTAATTTATAGGGTTTTCTTAATTTAATAATTAAATGATCTTGGCTGGTTTTATGTGCAAATATATTAGTATGTTGGGTTAGAAGTTATATATATATATATATATATATATTCATATATAGAAGTATATTGGTATGTTGGAATGTTGGTAAATATCTATATATTCTTATACAGAAGCATATTGGTATGTTGGTATGTTGGTAAATATCTATATATGTATATATATATATATTCATATATAGAAGTATATTGGTATGTTGGTAAAATATCTATATATATGTATATATACTCATATATAGAAGTGGGAGGCTTCCATACTTCAACTAAAGAATTGTCTTTTTTGTGTTTTATTATTAATGGGTGATCTCAAATTTGCTTTCTGGTTGTCTTCCATATTCTCTAATTAGGGTTTCTCATTTTTTATTTAATTATATGACACACACACACACACACATATATATATATATATGCGTATAATTGGAATATAAAAATAAATATGCCATTTAAAATTAATTTTAAAATATATATTTTTTTAACCCAATTACGTATTTTTCTTAATTAAGATTAGAAATACAAATTATTTTATAAATAATAAAAATTATTTACATTATTTACATTCTCATAACACACAGCCAACGCCTCTCCGTGTCTGGATCCGCTTATTATCTCCTTTATTTTGTTTCAGCCGTTCGATTTGCCTCCGTGGCTCATTCAGAGCCATTGATCGAGTTTCTTTCTTTCGTGTCCACGTGGCTGGCCCTAATTAGCCTATTGAGACACCTCAACAGTTGAGATTTCTGAAATTTATAGTTTTGTCCTGAATTTTAAGAGTATTATCATTTTGGTCCTTTCCTAGTTTACATATTTTCCTCTATTTTCCAAATCTTTTTCAATTGGCTCCCGCGTAGGATTTTTCTTGATAATTTTTTTTTGTCTTGACTCGGGAAGTTTTCATTTCCGTGTCGTTACACAAAGCCGTGTTAATTTATATATATTCCTAAATCGCTAAACTACAATTTATTTAAACTATAATTCACTTATAATATAATAAATTTATATGTAACGTAACGAAATAAAATAAAAGATAAGATTTGGATGTTCTTGATTAGGAATCTATCGCACATTTAACACGTGATTTTACGATAGTTAAAATCACGCTTTAACACTATTAAAAATGTCAAATCATATGAATATATATTAAAATTATGCAACTTAGATTGCACGATTATGCTTAATAGAATTAATTATTCAAATTTACATTATATCCTTATAAGAATATGAAAAATAAAACATAAAGTTTCAGCATAACATAAAATTAAATAATAAAAAAATTATCACATTATATTTATATTCTATATGCATTTTTATATTTAAATACCAAAAAAATTTACCGAACTCAAATTTTTTTAATCCATTTTAATTAAAATTTTTAGCTATCATAAATTATTATTTTTATATAAATATATCGTAATTTGATTAAGACGAAACTCAACTTGGTTATTAAAATCACACTAATACATTAATAAATTATTATATATATATATATTTATATTTATATTTAGTAATAAAATATACCCGGAGATAGTAAGAGAATATAATTGGCACTATTGTATTTTATTCAAGCAAAAATGTTATTTTCCTCATAAGTATATATATGTATATATATATATATATGTAATATTCTAGTTAGAACATATTCTTTAAGCTGAAAACAGCACAACAAAATGCATAATTGTTGGTTTATTGTCAATTACAGAATTTTTGTTTTCTTTCCTTAAAATTCCTTTTACATGCAATTAAGATTATTTAAATTCCATTCGATTTTGTCACATCGATTTGTCTCATAATCATGTTCTTAACTTTGGCTTAATTGGTACTCCTCAATTTTTCTTTTCATTATTAATTTTATTTTCTCAAATTTATTTATCTATCTTATTGTAAGACACACACATATATATATATATATATTTGTACGATATGGGTTTTATATTTATATTGATGTCACATGGGAATTTTAAATAAAATTTGTAAAAGAAAAAAAAAACCCTTGTAAAATTTTATCAAATTATTATCCCCTCTTAATTTTTTTTTTAACTTCTCTAAATTCAATTAGTACATAATAAGATTAAACTATTATAAAAAAACTTAAAAAAAAAATTATAAAAATAAAAGAATTTAAAATGATGCCAAAGAATTAAATGATTAAAGACTAAGTATAGAATATATTTAATTTATACACAACCTTTTTTAATCATGCCTCACTTTCCAACCCACTAATGAAGCTCCAGAACAAACAGTGCTTAAAAGTTTATTGTCTTCATTTTTTTCTCCAATCAAAAGGGAAAAAAGATACCAATAAATCTGATTTGCATGCTTTACAATATATAATTATATATATATATAGAGAGAGAGAGAGAGAGAGAGAGAGAGAGACCAAATTGCTACAATTATATGCTAATTTTGGTAATTAAATAGATGATCTACTAACTTAACGTTTTATTTATTTTTATTTTTTTATAACGATCGAAATTAAATGAAATGA